ACGGTAGCATTACGACATGATTGGCGTCGATATCATCATCTGGCAACGGTGCCGAGCAGCTATGGCGACGAGGGGGCAAGACGGTGACGACAAGACGAGCGGTTGGATAGTCCTGGCAAGGCGATGTGAGACAAGTGCAAGTGTGTGCTGTGTGCAGTGGGTGTATGTTTGTTATGACCGAGTCTTGTCTCCGCTCTGGCCTTAAGCCCGCGCAAACCCCACAGAGGCCACATGATCTACGCGCCGTCAAGCCACGCGCTGGGCATGCAAATGGGGGGGGGGGGCAGTTGGCAGTAATGGTGGCGTCGATGGGTATGGCTTTTGCTTGGTTGAGCGGCGCCCACGAGGGTCGTGCAAGGCAACCATGGGGGGAGATGGAATAGCTCTCACTCATCTCATCTCATCTCGCCCACACCACAACCCATACCACACGATAGCATAGCCCGTGGATGGCTGCCTGGGCTGGGCTGAGGCGTACATGCACATGTATACACGCCTAGAGCATTGCCTCGTTTAGGCGTCCAAGGCTGCCAGGCACCAAACATCCAGCCCCCCCCTCTCCCCTTTGCAGGCAAACAGTTGCGCCCCACCGCATAGCCGGGCGTTGATGAGCTGTAATGCCACCTCATCAATCAGAAGCACGTCGAATCACACACGGACTTGGGTGGTGGTGTTTGGAGGCGGCGGCCGGGGTAAGGCGGAGACGGGGAAACAAACTAGGCGGCGGGCCCTTTCTCTCCCTCTTGCGCTCTCGCTTCACTCGCGCGCCCTGCATTTGCATGCACCGGCCGAGTCGAGGCGAGGCGAGATAGGCGCAAATGCGGCGGGTCAAAAGTGTAAAAGTCCATGTGCAGTGCCGTACATAGACCTACTGCACGTTGGTGTAGCAGCAGCGCTGAGGCTACACCGCTGGCTGGCTGGCTGGCTGGCTTGCTGACCACACCGCTGCGACGCCGAGAACAAGTCGACGACGTGGTTTGAAACGTGCACTCTACCCACTACCCAGCACAAGCGCGCATTCATGTTTCGAACCATGGGCCATGCCCGTTGCAGTCCTGAATCGCCCGTGTGTGTTTTTTTATTTGATTTGATTTGATTTGCATGGCCACGTTGTTGTTTCGAGACGTGTATCGCATTGCATCAAATCAAATGCATACAGTATCGTGGGGGGGAAAGGGCGCAACCAAGGAACCCAAAGGAAGGGAAAAAAAAGATCGGCGCTGTAACTCGCCCTTCTTCTTACTTGTGACAGATTGTGGAGAAGGTCAAGGCCTGTTTTTTTTTTGCCCAGAGCGGAGTCCGCGACAACAAAGTACCCGTTTCCGCTCTTGTTCGTCCTCGCCCTCCTTTTTTGTCATATTTTTTCTTTTTTTTTCCCTTCCGGTCTTGGTGAAAGGAAAAGAAGAGAAAAAAAAGGACAAAGCGTCGTGATCGCGACGCACACGTGCATGATGGCATATACGCGACGCGGATCTTCGCGTTGTTGGAGTTCCGCTCTCCGCCCTGTCTTTTGGCCCGCGTTTCGCCCGATCGGAACATGGTCGCCGCCGACCATGCTCGCTCGTCCACCTCATGGAATCCGATCGGAATCGTATATGCTCCGAGTTGCCTTTGCCCCACCCCATGTCCCCCATGTGCATGTCGTTCTGGCCCTGCGCTTTTCTCGAATCATCACGGCGGAGAGCTCGCCGTCAGTAGTAAAGAAAAAACGACCCGGTTGCGCGCGGCAGGCAGGCAGGCAGGCTTTGCACACGCCATTCGTTCAGCTGTCTGGCTGCGTCACATGCGCCACTGGGTGGGCTGTATATTCCTACATAGCCATGTTTTTGAAGCGTTGCGCGCGAAAAACTCCGGATGCGTAGCAAACAGGAAAAAAAAGGGCGGGGGACGCCGTGTCCGTCGTAAAGGTGCCTCCCCTTCTGCCTTGTCTTGCACATGCAGGGGGGCGCGCGCAACACGAATGCGAAAGTGTAGTTGTCAAGGACAATACGGTGCGGTGTGCCTCACCGGCTCGTGTTGTCCCTTTTTTTTTGGGCACAGCGGACGACCAAGCCAAGCTCAGGTCTTGGGGCGCCAAAAGAAACGGGGCAACGCCAACTGCGCGTCGGCCTTGTCCAGTCCAGGCTGCTACTAGGTGTAGAGACATGTCCATGTACTTAGTACTAACCTGCGGGCGGCGGGACCAAGCGTGCGCAACGACTTGGACTTGCGACGGCGACCAGAGAGAGGGGCCAGGGTCCGGCGCGCGCACTGGCCAAAAGTCGGTCAAGCCAAAAAGTTTCCTGTGGCATAGGTGCGACCAGGTCGGCGCCCCAATCTCCCACATACGCCCTAAATTACCCCTCGCCTTTGCTGGTCGAGAGAAATGCTGGCACACCATGGCAATGCACATGTCGCTTGCACCCCCCCCCACGTAGCCAAACTCATGACCGCTCTTTGCTGGTCGCCTGCGCCTGCACGTCAAAATCACACCCTGTGACTGGTGGCCCTCGGGCGACCGTCTGATTACCATGCAGCCTGCAGCGATAGCACGCAATGTCACCTGAGGAAAGCATATGCTGCACATTATTATTATGGCCATAATTTTTTCACTTGCAAACCGAGTCATGATAATCATGATGGATCGTTGTGGATTGTTTCTCTCATTCTGTAGCTAAGGCGGCAGTCTCGACCAATGTTCTCGGGAGAACTTGAACCGCTCGTACCAAAACTAACACACGCCCAAAGTCTTTCTCCTCCGCCCCTATCTAGTGTCCATCCCATGCATGCATACAAGAGAGTAGAGTCCTGAAATCATCGCAGAGACATGTCCCCCGCCCTGCGGTATATATGCCAGTACAATCCGACATGTAAAAAAAAACGCCGTGCAAATAAAGAAAAGGATATCGTGCTCAAGTGAATACAACGCTATGCTGGAAATGACTCGCTCGCTCGCTAAAATAAAACAGTGCTGGATCAAAAATCATGAGGTCGGAACAGGGTCGTGTGCTGGCCTAATAACTTGAGATGAGCGGCGTGTTTGTCGTGTCCATGAACAGCGGTTGGTCGTCGTGCTCCATGTACTGCGCTTCTTGTGGCTTTGCGTCGTAGAAGGTGGTTGTGAGCATGGCTTCCTTGTTGAAGTTGAGCGTCGATTGCGAGGGGGATGTGGGCGGCGACTCGTCGTCCGACTCGTCCTCAAAGGTGAGCTCGGGCGGTGATTGTGATTGCGAGGGAACACGGGTGAGGGCGAGTTCAGAGTCGTCTTCCATGTCGTCGTAAAAGTCTTCGTCGTCCGAGTCGTCCTGGTCCACCTCCATTGTGCTGATCTGGACGGGCGCTTGGGCAATGCGGCGAGGCATGGGGATCATGTCAAAGTCGTCGTCGTTGTCAGAGTCCGACTCGGAAACGTCGTCGTCGTCGTCGTCGAGCTCCTCGACGATGCTGTCGGCCCACTGGATGTGTCGAGACTCGTCGGCCTTGGAGGCCTTGGCCATGGTCTGGTTGAACCACTGTTCCTGCTGGCGCTCGGCGTCCTGGAGTTCAATCATGAGGCTGTCGAGGAGGTTGGCGTGTCCAACGAGCAGGCGGAGGTCGTGGTCGGCCCTGCATGCCTCCTTGCCCAGCTTGGAGCGGGCCGAGGCAGCAATGTAGTAGGTCTGGGTCAAGGACATTTTTTGCTTCTTGGGCGGCGGCGACGAGACGTAGTGGGAGCGCGTAGTCTCGGCCGTGAAGGGCTCAAACGAAGTCTGGATGCGGAGATGTGATGAGAAAGGCATGGTGAGGGTGAGTGGTTGCAGGCAGAATTATATGGCCAGAGTGTGCCTGGAAAAAGAGGTGAGTCAGTGTGGTGGGTGACGGGAGGGAGGCGGAGAATGACGAACCCTCGTCGGCTGGGGAAGGTGATCCGAGCGTGAGTTTGGCGAAGGCAGCAGCAGTGGTGGGGACGATGTGCAGCGATGTGCAGCAGAGGAGGAGGAGGAGGAGGAGGAGGAGGTGGTGGTTGAGCAGAGGATATATGTGTGAGTGTGTGAATGTGTGCTTGGATGTCGTGGTGGTCGAGGGTCCTGGATGGCGGGCGGGCAGGCGTGTTTCTTATGTTGGCGTGACGCATGGCAGACGGGCGTGGTGGATAACGGGTGGCCGGAGTTATTGGCGTGTTTCTGGTGCCCGGACACCGCTCTTGGCCGAGCATTGCTCAGCCCAAGGACCGATGCGGTGAGCTAGCAGACTATGATTCACACGACGCGGCAGGGGTGCTAGCGCGGCTTACGATGCTTGGTGATACCCTGCCTGTCGCCGGTCGGACGTAAAGGCTTTCGCCCGCGCTGGCGTCTGGTGTGCGTCCATGTGCGGAGGCATGCGGTGCTGCGACGACGCGGAACCCGAGCCTTGCGCGGATATGCCTTGATCCACGCTGCCGCCTACACACGCACATGCACACGCACATGCACATGCACATGCACATGCACATGCACATCCACGTCCACGTCCACGTCCACGTCCACGTCCACGCCCACGCCCACGCCCACGATTCTCGGCCCTGCCATCAGCCACGCACTCGCTCACGCACTCGCTCCCTCGGTCGTGTCTGCTACACATTCACTCTAATTTGCGAAAAACCATGGGCTCCGTCATGGTGTGCAGAGAGGGCCGTTGGCGGGGCTAAAGGGCGGGTTTGTCAGATGGGCATTTTTCAGCACACCTGACAAAGCGACGTGTTGGGGCCAATGAGGGGGGGGGGGGGGACAGGCGGACGTGTTTGTAATCGGGACATGTCGTGATGAGATGGCTTGGAGGATACGGACGAAAGCTGTGAGTGTGTGTGGGTGGGTGGAATGCCGGAAGGCCGAGTTTGCTGGCCAAAGCAAGTGCGGGCGCGTGGGCGTGTGTGGTGAGAAGCCGGTCGGCCGAGCCACATGCTTTTCCGGCAGGCAGCCATGACAGGCAGACAGACAGGTTGGCACTTGACCCGCAGCAATTTGGTTGGCGTGAGGCCGGCAAGTCGCGCGGAAACGAGGCGAGGGCATGGGCTCGGGGGCCCAATGTTTGGTAGCAGCGGTAATAGGGAGCTGGGCACAGTAGTGGTAGTGGTAGCGGTAGCGGTAGCGGTAGCGGTAGCGGTAGACAGAGCAATTAGCAGGTGGGAGGCGGGGCCAGGATTGGGCAAGCCACGGGGCGAGCTGTGGCTGAGCCTGACGACAGCGCACCCCAGGCGCAAAAGCAAGCGGGCGAAATGAGGGCGCGGCGTGTGATGCAATGCATGGCCCCTGCTTCCCACGGCCACTGGCATGGCGCTGGCATGCGCACTGGGCTGCGCGCCGTGTCAGCGTCATCTGCTGCCCTTCGCCCTGTCCATGTCAGATCCAGGAACCGACCAGGGCTGCGTTGCCCAGTGCTCCCTCCTCCTGCTCCCTCCCCGCTCCGCCCAAGCACGAACGATCCTAAACGAGAAGGCCGCCCAAGCACAGCCCTTCTCGTCGGCACCACCACGCATCCGAGGGCCTCGCTTCACCGCTGCCGCCATGCGTACGCTGCTGCTGACATCTACCAAGCCCTACACCGAGTATGCCGCAGCCCGCCCACATGCACCCTGCCCCCGTGTAGCAGCGCAATGCTGCCCTCTACAAGCCATGGCCTGACCCCTTGCCTCATTCGGTATATGGCTCTCCCCGACTAAGCCACCACCACGCCTCTACCACGACGCCGACAACGACGATGAAAACGGCTCACACGGCACACGTATTGATTGATTGCACCCCACACAAGTATTGCCTTTGCCTGTGCTCAGCCTCTTCCGCCTTCATCGTACCGCTAACCACTATTCCCGCATCCATCCTCCCAAGCATACATCTAGCCCTGCGGCATATCTGCAAGCCACGCCATCCCACTCGCTTCTCTTTCAAGTATGCTTCTGGAACAGTCGCCGTGCACGGTTCCATGCATTGCCCACCACACATGGCCCATTATTCCCTCTATGCGAGCTGCTGACATTCCCATAGCCGGCCGATATCCAAGTCGACCCTGGTTGATTGTGACCTGGTAGCCCAAGACCTGGGTGCATCAATAAGCATGACTTTGCTCGCCATTGGCTCCCAACACCCACACGTCAATTTTGACTCAACACTAGTCAGTCTACATTCATGGTTGACGCAACCCTCGTACGAAAATTTTGTTCAGACGAAAATTCCATCACCCTTCCTCGAAGCTTGACAAAGCTTGGGCTGCACATACTGGCAGCGGCATGCCGTCACTGCGCATATGCTTTCAAATTCGTGTCAAATCCCATCGAGATCCATGAGAGGGAGATTCTAGAATTTCCTTCCTACGGCCTTTACGGCTTGACGCACTGAGTCGTCGCCCTGGCACACGCCACTGACGTGCTGCTATAGACTACGACATCATCTTCAGTGCGACTTCGGACTCGGCATGCTGCATCCAGCCTCTCCGTCCAATGCGGAATGGAAGCGATGAAAAGAAAACTGATTCTCCAAGTCACACCTATGTCTCGCCATTTGCTTTTCTTCAATGACGCACAGTCGTGGTGTAAAGAAACGAAAGCGAATCCGGCTGGCCGAAAGAGCAAAAGGAATATGAAGCTCACGAGATTACGTACCACGAGACCGATACACAGTATGGTTCAACTGCTGGTTGCAAATGGCTCGTGCCTCACTTTTAGCAATGGTTTGGTTTGTCTTGTTTATCTACAACATTGCCCACCTCAACTGGGATTTGTTTCGGAGTGGTTCAAAACTTGCGTCTGGGCAATCGTCTAGGTGTACTCGATCCCGCCAAAATGCGAGGAAAGTAACATATCAGACATTTCCACGTCCGAGCCCATTATTATGCCTGGAATCCGGGGTTGAAGAGAATAAGCAAGGAACGAACCAGACATGCAACCAAGATACCTCAGTCGTTTCGTCATCACCATATCTAGGGAAGGTCCCCTCGTCCGGCATCCTGGATATATCATAGGGCTGAGCATATGTTGCAGCTCACCCTGTGCCTGGCGATTTGGTTCCAAGCAAATATCCAACAAGGATATTTCCAAGGTGCTTGTGATGGTTGTGCTAAGCATTAGAGACGGCACTTTCTCCGGCATGATCCTGTTCTGCCCAAACGCAACTCCGTGGATTAGGAACAGGAATGGATTGGCCATGAGCATCTACCCAACAACAGGGTCCTCCCACCGATCCCAGTTCGGCGAAACTATTGGACATGGCACCGCCCTATCGTGTTCCTGATGCCCATCGTGACCCTGATCTTCCAGGATGAATGCCTGTCGCGCTTCACTATTTCACAGACTAACCCGCCATTTGTTATGCGTTGGGCTGCAACACCCCACGGCATCTTGTGCCCTGCCAACCGCACCCGTAAACGCATTACGGGAGCTTGCTGTCGGTGCCCTGCGAGGGTTCGACCCAGCCATCCGACCCACATGGTATGCGTTGTTCATGTCGTTGCGATGCTGTGCACACTGTGCCCAAGTCAGTGTTGGGCAGGTTCCAGTCGCCAGCAACCCTTGGTGGTCGATCTGCTGGGTTGCAATGGCAAGTAGATCAGCATGAGTCGTAAACCGAATCGTGTTTAGATAATTTCCAGCCTTGCGCGGCAACGAGAGAAATGACGTAGGCCTCTTGTCCGTGTCAACACAGAATGTAAACAATGAAAAATACCCCACGTGGCGTGGGCGTCGCGCGTTGCTGTGGATGGTTAGCGCGAAACCCTGATCACAACAAACATTGCAACCAAAGGACTCAACAACAGCCCTATCGCTCCTCGTATACCGAATTACTCGTCCACCAAGCTGCAAAACGACTGCAAAGTGCAACACACGGCAAAATCTCAGCAAACAATGGCCGACCCGGGTATGTTCTCGGTGCGCCGTCAGGTAGGTTCATGCTGCGACCCCCTCTTGTCGCTTCTTCCTTCTGCCGACCTCGATGTCTCTAACACGACGCGCAGACTTTGGGCCCCGTCAACAACAACGTCTCCGCCATTCCCATGCCAGCCTCCGCCATGAAGCGCACCAGCTCAGTACACAATATGCAACAAAATCAGTTCCCGCCCAACCTTGCGCGGTCGCAGAGCGGAAGTAGAATGTCCCTCGCTCCTGGCCGTCCCAGCCAGCCAATCTTTCAGCGCTCCTCGTCCGGCACAAACCTCGCCGAAGGCTTTCCATCGGGACACCGCAACTCGACCAGCAACTTTGGAGCAGGCAGTGCGCGCAAAAGCTTCGCGCCCGGTGCCTCCATCTTCCAAACACCTGCGCCCTCGTCCTCGGCCCCGACGTTTGAACAGAGCGCCCAGCGGAGAAGCAGCGTATTCAAGTCACGGACATCACACGCGCCCGGGCAATCAGGCATCAAGCAATCCTTCTTCCAGACGGCACCGCTGCCGTCGGTTCCTCCGGCGGACCCCCGACGACTCAAGGACCCAAACACGCGCTCGCACATGGCACAGGAGCTAATGGAGTATCTGACACACAACAATTTCGAGATGGAGTCCAAGCACGTCCTCTCCAACAAGGCCATGACTTCGCCCACCCAAAAGGACTTCAACTCCATGTTCCAATGGCTATACAACCGCATCGATCCCAGCTACCGCTTCCAGAAGTCGATTGATCAAGAGGTGCCTGCGCTGCTCAAGCAGATGCGCTACCCATTTGAAAAGTCCATCATGAAGTCGCAAATTGCCGCTGTTGGCGGTAACAACTGGTACACCTTTCTCGGTCTGCTCCACTGGATGATGCAGCTTGCGCGCCTGATGCAGGCGTTTGACGCGGGAACATACGACGATGCGTGCTTTGAGGCGGGCTTCGACGTCTCCGGCGACCGCATCATCTTCGACTTCTTGTCCGACGCGTACAGCACCTGGCTATCAGCCGACGACGATGACGACGACGAGGAAGCGCAGCAGAAGCACATGGAACCTCACATTAGAGCCATGGCCGCCAAATTCGATGCCGCAAACGCTCAACACCTCGAACAAGTCAACCTTTTGGAGGCTGAGCACAAGTACCTGCAGGATCAAATCGAAGAGCTTGGAAAGTCTGGCCCAAGGATACAAAAGCTCGAGGAGCAGATTCGCATTCTGGAAGAGGACCGCGTCAAGTTTGAGAACTACAACAACTCCATGGAGTCCAAGGTCAAGAAGTACACTGACCGCTGCTCATTCTTGGAGAAGTCGATTGAGGAGATTGAGGCCGAGCTCGAGGCTTCGGAGAAAGAGCAGCAAGAGCTTCAAGCCATTATTGACGGCCGGGGCATGACCATTGCAGATATCGACCGCATGGCAAACGAGAGGGACCGTCTCGACTCTTCTCTCCAGGCAACCTCAGCACGCCTGGAGGAGTCCAAGAAGCGCGTTGCCGAGAAGGAGATTGCAGCCTCACGGAAGCTTGACGAGCTCGAACAAACGATTGAGCGCTTCAACAATCTCGGCTACCAGATTGGCGTCATACCATCCACAGCTGTCAATGCAAAGGGGCAAGAATACGAACTGGTCCTCACCATAACCGATGCGCCCAACTTTTCAGGCTCCCAAATGGGCGGCTCATCCCAAGACGCCTCAGACCGACTCCTTCACGACTCTGGAACAGGGTACTCTCCTGCTCACCTCCTGAACCTCGATCTCCGTGGCACGGTAAAAGCCAACATTCTCTCCCTGCGCAAGGAAATTGCAGAGCGCCGCAACCAAGCGCTAGAGGCAGACATGAACAACCACGACCTCCTCGACAAGATCAAGGAAGCCATGGACGACAAGCAAGCCGAGGTCGAAGCCCTAGGCCACCGAGTCGCCCAAGCCGAAGAGGAGTTGGAAAAGCTCCGCGAGATTACCAACACACAAAAGAGCCAGTCTGATGCGCAAATCGAGCGCATGGAGAAGGAACTAGGCCGTATGCGCAGCGGACTCGGAGAATCTGTGCAACTCATGGTTCAGCGCGAGATGGCCGTGAATATTGAGTAAGTCCTGATTATGTCCGCTTGCATGCAAACGTACTAACAAACATGCCCCTTAGATACGAACAGCTGCAACTCCGCGCAAACGCACTCCGCGAAGAACTCCACACGGAAATCGAACGTATGCTCGATGACATTGTCCGCTTCAAGCTGCATGTCCAAAAGTCGCTCGAGGAGTACGAGCAGTTTATTGCCGATGAGGTCGAGCGCAGCTGCGAGGAGCAGGATATGCTCGCTGCTGAGGACGAGGACGAGGAGATGGACGACGATGCTCACGACTAGGACTAAACATGCTTATGACTTGGAAGCGTGTTCTTGTCTGTGTCTTGTTGTCTTGTTATTGTTCTTTTGTCCAGGCGTCTGACGGAGCAAGTGTGTGTGTCATGCGGTACATGTGCCAACGATTGGGTTTCACGACGTTCATGATTGGTGTTTTGGGTTCTTCTCCATGTTGGATGCATGTGGGCCATGTCAGGCCATTTTGGAGCTTACTGTCTTGGGTTGTACCTTTTTCGTCCTCTTCTTCTGAGATACCTCTTTGCTCTTTGCTCTCTCTTTTTTTTTGGGGGGGGGGGGGGGGG